CATGTGTGTTTGTCAAGGAGGAGGGGCAAAACAAACTGTATTGTTTATGTTTTGTTGATGATCTTCTGATGTTTTGGAAGAATCAGGCTTTCTACCAAAGCACCCTAGCTCAGCTGAAGGAGCACTTTGACATGAAGGATCTTGGTGAGGTATCCAACTATCTTTCTCTGCAGGTGGAGAGGGACCAAGCAGGTAATTTTCTGGTACACCAAACACAGAAAATTGCTGATGTATTAACCAGGTTGAATTTGGTTGATGCAAACCCAGCAGACACACCGATGGTGACAGGTTACCAGGTAGACAGTACTGCTGAAGCGTTTTCTGACACTACGCTGTACAGATGCATTCTAGGCAAGTTGAATTTCATTGCTAGATGCTCAAGACCTGACATAGCTGTAAGCACTAACCTGCTTAGCAGACATGCTAACAATCCTACTGTTCAGGATTGGAAAGCTCTGAAGCGCATAGCCCGCTATTTGAAAGGGACTATGCACTACAGGCTGAGGTTCACCAGTCAGAAGACTGGAGGTCTTGAAATCTTTGCAGATGCAAGTTTTGGAAGTGACACCACGGATGGTACAAGCACTTCTGGAGTATGCTACATGTACAACCACTGCCTGTTTGACTGGTTGTGCAAAAGCAGACGACAGTGAGCCGAAGTTCCTGTGAAGCAGAACTCAATGCTCTGTCATTTTCACTCATGGATTGTGAATGGTTGATGCAACTGTTTAAGGACATCAGAGTTTCTGTGAAATGTCCTGTACAAGTGTATCAAGACAATAGATCGTGTTTGGCTTTGCTGAACTCGGAGAGTTGCAAGCAAAGGACCAAGTACTTGCAGATTAAGCTACATCGTGCAAGAGAGTGTATTCAGAAAGGACTCATTCAGGTGTCCTACATGCCAGGAAATGAAATTCCTGCTGATCTGTTGTCTAAGGTTGTTAACAGAGAACAACTTAAGGTTTACGTACAAAGGTTGCAATTGGGTTGAACCACAGGTACTACAGGTTACACGGAAAGGGGAGGATGTTAGGATATTTCCGTTCCACCTTAAAAGGAGCAGGCTTTGTGAGTCAGAGTCTGCGTATTTCCTGTTCACAGGATGTTTATGTTTTCTGTTGCTTTCGTTTTCTCTCTGGTGTCGCAGACACTAAAGCAGTCGGTCATGTTTTTCTGTGTTCTGATCAACGCTGAATAAACTTGTAAATAATGCTCTCCTGGGTGCAACTTTTGCTGTGACTATCTGCTGATAGAGTGTGCATGAGCTCTGGAATGTGGCAAGAAATCTTCTAGAAACTCATGTCGCTAATTGTTGATACTGCGTGACTACGGGAGGTCAATGGATCGTCCGGCAGACGGCTTGGGGGCCTTGATGGACTTTATCTCCCTGGCAGTATCCCAACAAGCCCTACATTGTTATGTATATAGAAAGATATTATTGCTAAGCTATTCCTCTTCTTTCCGATATAGCTTTCCTTGAATGGTGGCAGAGCACCTGTTTTGCATGCAGAATCTCTGTGTTCAATCTCCAAAGTTTCCAGGTGGGATAGGAAATGTCTCCTGCCTGAAATCCTGAACAGCCTCTTACAGTCACTGTAGACAATTCTGAACTAAAAGGACCAGTGGTGTGATTTGATACGTCCTTTTTGAATCAGCCCTTTACTCAGAACCACAAAGGCTACAATTTAAGGATTTGAAGCAGGGAAGGGCTGTGGCTCAATGGTAGAGCCTTACATGCATAAGTTCCCAGCTTCAATCCCTGGAATATCCTGACACAGCTGGAAGAGAATGCAGCCTGAACATCTGAAGGAGCTGCTGCCAGTCAGTGTAGACAATATGAGCTAGATGGACCAGTGGGTCTGTTAAGGCAGATCCCTTTGTTCCTAAGCTGCAAATGGTCAAATATGCTCCATTTTTAAAAAAAAAAACAGGAAAAATGATAAGCTATGGATTAAAAAAAATTCCAGGCAAGAGACCTAATGTTGAAAAGAGGTCTGAGATGTGCTTGCTGTGGGTCCCTCCCTCCTTCTGTTGGAGGTCGTGTATTTTCTTGGCAAAAGAGTCCCCTTCCTTGAAAGCAGCTTAGATTAGTGGCTTTAAAAGGGGAAATTAGGGAGAACAGAGAAAGCAGACACAGCCATCAGACTTGATGAATAGCTCGCCGCCATTAAATACATATATGAATGAGCCACAGGAAAAACAGTGTAGGTACTCAAAACAAAGAGACTTGAAGATGAAATAGTCTTTATTAACAATGAGATGCCTTAATTCCACCGAGTTTTGGCTCAGGCGGATTCTCGCCTGTCTTCCTCTGCCATCAGCTGGGCAAAAATCAGGTCTCTTCCTACCTAAATATATTCTACGAGTGCCGGAGACTGAATGCCACAGTGATTTAAAGACTGATGTCCCAGTCAAATGCCTGGGTTTATGTGTCCCTCAGCTATACATTTTCCTGCGTGATTTTTCTTTCTTGCTGTTCTCGAAAAAGTATTCGCATGCAATTGAGGCGGGACAGAGGAAGCTGACATGCCAAGTCAGACCCTTGGTCTATAGGGATCAGTAATCCCTACACTGGCTGGCAGCAATCTCTAGGGTTTCAGGCAGCAGCAATGTAGGGCAGAAATGCTTCTGAATACCAGTTGGTGGAAACCTCAGGAGGGGAGATGTTATGTACTGAGTTGAATAGGATCCAAAATGCAGCAGTCTGATTGGTCCTAGAACAATAGGATTCAGAATGCAGCAGTCTGATTGGTCCTAGAACAATAGGACCCAGAATGCAGCAGTCTGATTGGTCCGCAGGAGCCACCCAATCCAGCTCCAGGTGGAAGTGAATCTGCAACCTGATTGGCCTACAGGAGAATCCCGGAAATAGCCAGTCACGTGGGGCCCATTGTGTAGATAATGTATATAAAGCAGACATTCTGGGGGAACTTCCATTCCTCCTCACCAGTATGAGCTGAATAAAGAGCATGAAATCCACACTCGACCGAGTATATTTCAGGAGAAGACTCTTGTGCTCAGGTCCTGCTTTCCACTGAGGCATCTGGGTGGCCACTGTGAGAACAGTGTCCAGCAGGTCTCTGTTTATGTTCTTTAAAATGAGAAACTAGCATGGGCGGGTGCTGGCACCCATACTCCCCAGGGATTCCACCTTTGGCTGATGTCATCTTACCCAGGCTGGAAGATCCCTCATTTCGTTCTTAATGGGAGTTCATTCCCAACTCGTCTCACTCACCAATCAATCAGCATCTGGGACCTTTTCAGAGCGCAGAGCGTGCCAAGAATCCCCACTGCATAACCTTTCAGAGAGAGCAAAGGACAGATGTTGAAGAGGGGGGGAAGACAGCGAGGCGGGAGAGCCTTCTTTCCCAGAGTGACTTGTACCACGACAGCTGGAGAATTGCAAGCAAGCTGTCTCTTATTCTCTGAGGCTCTGGCGGCTGGGAGCGAGGGGCCTTTATTTGTGCAAAACAGCTTCAATTCCCCAGCGTTGCCGCAATGCAAACAAACCCAGAGGAATCCAGAGGGAACGTCAGCCTGGAAGTGCAAGCCCTTTGTGGGGCACAAAGCATATTTATGTATTTCATTTATATCCCACCCTAGGTGGCCACTGAAGACGAAACAGAAAAATTCTTGGAGCGGAGGGCTATCGCTGGCTACGAGTTGTGATGGCTATGCTGTCTGCCTCTCTGGTTGGAGGCAGTTATGTTTCTGGATATCAGCTGCAGGGAATCACAAGAAGGTGCTTGGGGGCTTGGATCCTGTTTGCAGGTTTCCCACAGCCATCTGGCTGACCACTGTGATGTCAGGATGCTGGACTAGAGGGGAAACGGGCCTGATCCAACAGCCTCCTATGTTATTATAGAGTCAAACAAGCAGAAACGCAATTCACAAATGAGGACCATGCTTCCAGGGATGGCTGAAACCCTGGGCAAGTGGAGAGGGATACTGGGAAAAGAGCAAAAGGACTACAAGGCAGTGATTTATCTTAGAAACAATGCAGAGTAGTGGTTAGTGTCAGGCTAGGGCCATCAGCACCAAGGACAGCTCAACCTTCCGAAAGGGTTTCTTTCTTTATTGTAGGACTCCTTATCTACAAGGTAAAGGTAAAGGACCCCTGGACAGTTAAGTCCAGTCAAAGGCGACTATGGGGTTGCGGCACTCATCTCGCTTCAGTGAGCCAGTGTTTGTCCACAGACAGCTTTCCGGGTCATGTGGCCAGCAGGACTAAACCGCTTCTGGCACAACGGGACACCGTGACGGAAACCAAAGTGCACGGAAACGCCGTTTACCTTCCCACCGCAGTGGTACCTATTTAACTACTTGCAATGGTGTGCTTTTGAACTGCTAGGTTGGCAGGAGCTGGGACAGAGCAATGGGAACTCACTCTGTCACGAGGATTTGAACCGCCGACCTTCTGATCGGCAAGCCTAAGAGGCTCAGTGGTTTAGACCACAGCACCACCCGCATCCCTTTTCTACAACAGCTCCACTGGCTAGTGGTCAGTTTCCAGGCACCATTCAAAATAGTGGTTACAACCTACAAAGCCCTATATGGCTTAGGCCCAGGCTATCTGAAGGACTTTAACCTCCCATATGAGATTCTGTGATTTTGGAGGAGGCCCTTCTCTGAATGTTCTTGTGTTCAGGTCCTGCTTGTGGACTTCTATTTGGGACATCTGGTTGCCCACAGTGAGAAAAGAAGACTAGACTAGACGGGCCATTGGCCTGATCCAGCTAATTTCTTCGTATGCTCTCTTTCTCGTGAGTAAGACCCAATACCCATCCTCGCAGACCTTGAATACCAAAAGACACAAGGTGCAGGAGAGTTTAAGAAGTGCAATGACCAAAGAAGGAAAATATATATATTGCTCAGCATCTGGTGGCTTTAATAAATCATAAGAATGTCAGAAGAGCCTGCTGGATCAGGCCAATGTCTAGTCCAGCATCCAGTTCTCACAGCGGCCACAGTGCCTCTATTGGAAAACCTGCAAGCACAAAAGCTGGATAGCTCAGTTGATTAGAGCGTGGTGCTGATAATGCCAAGATTGCAGGTTTGATCCCTGTATGGAATGGCTGCATATTTCTGCATTTCAGGGGGTTGAATGAGATGATCCTCAGGGTCCCTTCCAGCTCTATGATTCTCTGATTCTATAAACTTTTCCTGTTGTTTCCAGCAACTGGTATTCAGAAGCCTCCAATTGTAGAGGCAGAGTATAGCCTTCATGGCTCGTAGCCATTAAGAGCCTTCTCTTCCTCCGTGAATTTCTCTGGTCCTCTTTTAAGGTCATCTGGTTTGGCGGCCATCACTCCTTCCTCTAGGAGTGAGGACCATAGTGTAACTGGAGGCACAGCATAGCATCATGACTAATAGCCATCAAGGGCCTTCTCCTGCAAGAATTTTCCATGCATCTCAGAAACAGATCAGCCAATTGCTGGGTAACTTTTCCAGACAACAGCACATTTTATTGCAGAGCCGCAGACCTGGCAAGTATCTCCCAAGCATTTTTTTTTTGCTGCTTCCAAAACTCTGACATTTCTGCAAGCCGTTTCAAGCTCCCGTTTTCACCTTTCAGATTCCCCTCCGGTTTGGCAGTGCCACAGACACGCCAAGCCGTCAGTGCCAACCACCCATTTATCAGCGGCCCTTTGTGAATATTCATTATCCAGGCACATTTCATGTTTTCACCCTCGTCGTTGTCTCAAAATGATTATTAATTATCACCCATCTGACAGATTTAAGGCTCTTCCAGCAGGCTCACAAATCCCTCAAGGGGGAAGGGACAGCCCAGTGGAAGGAAACCCAACTGACTCTTGGGGTTTACAGAAGGATGGAGTTTTGGGGGGGAAAACAAAGCCATGTGAAATTTAGACTTTGGGGGGGGGGGTGGCTTGAGAAAAGAAGACTGCAGTGCTCTGATTTTTGGGGGGATTCTGGGGCATGTATGAGCTCACCACTGTCTTCCTGTAATAACTGAGTCCAAAGGTGTTAGCATGTGGAGTTAGCACACATCATTTCAGAGGTTCCTTCTAGTAAAATAAATCATCCCTTGGACCACATACAAAGAGTCCTGCTGCATCAGAGCAATGGTTCGTCTAGTCCAGCATCCTGTATGCACAGTCATCAGCCAGACGTCTCAAAGGGAAACCTAAAAGTAGGACCCAAGCACAAGAGCGCTCCTGTCCAGCAACTGGGATTTGGAAGCATGATTCCCTCCATCTCTGGATCAGGTCAATGGCCCACCTGGTCCTACATCCTGTCCTTGCAGGAGCCACCCAGATGCCCATCAATGGGATGCTCACAAGCAGGACCTGAGTGCAAGGTTTATTGGCAAAACCTATTTGGTGTTTTGCAACTTTCTGATTAGTTGCAGGACCTTAACCAGACCTAGCACAGTAAACGCAGAATCCAAGGAAGCAATTGGCAACTTGGCTGCAGACAGGATAGACGAAGCAGGAACCAGGAACTTGTAGTTAGGTGTTTATTATATACAGTGGACTATTTACAGGAACAGAACACGGATCTTTTGCTAGCTCTCTCTGACACAACTCACAACTCCTACACTGACACAGAACTCTGAACTCACGAACACCTGAACTAATGCATTCCAGTTAGTAGGCCATTAATTATCACACCCTTGAGAGAGCTTGACCAATCAGGGAGCAGTCTCCATGTCTCTGTTATCACCAGGCAAACTTACTCCTTCAGATTGCCTTTTGGCTGTCTGCCAAACCTTAATTGACTCTGTGTGAGTAGCTGCACGTACACAGTTTCCCAACAAGGTTAACTTTCCTGACTTGCAATTTCCAACCACTGGTACCTAAAGGCATTACCTCCTCTGACAGTGGAAGTGGAAGAACATGGGAACCTAAGAAGATTCTGCTGGGTCAGGTCAAGAGCTCATCTAGTCCAGCATTGTCTTTCCACAGTGACCAACTGGCTGCAAGTAAGACCCGAGTGCAAGAGGACTCTCCTGTGTTTTCTAGATTGTGCTAATCAGAAGAATTGCTGTCTCCAACCTCCAGAGGCAGAGTTTGCCATCATGGCTAGTAGCCACTGAAAGCCTTTTCTCCTCCATGAATTTGTGCAACCCTCTTTTAAAGCCATCCAAGTCAATGGCTATCACTGCCTCCTCTGGAATCAGATTCTATATTCACCATCCTTCCCAGAATTCACCATGCTGACTGTCAGGGACTGGGCAGAGGAAGAATGGTGGAGACCACTTCCCTATCCTGACCCTTCCAGGAAGGAGGAAGAGGAAGACAGTTTAGACTTACAATAATAATAAAATAATAATTTATTATTTATACCCCACCCATCTGGCTGAGTTTCCCCAACCACTCTGGGCGGCTTCCAATCAAGTGTTAAAAGCAATACAGCATTAAATATTAAAAACTTCCCTAAACAGGGCTGCCTTCAGATGTCTTTTAAAGATAAGATAGCTGCTTATTTCCTTCACATCTGAAGGGAGGGCGTTCCACAGGGCGGGTGCCACTACCGAGAAGGCCCTCTGTCTGGTTCCCTGTAACCTCACTTCTCGCAATGAGGGAACCGCCAGAAGGCCCTCGGCGCTGGATCTCAGTGTCCGGGCTGAACGACTGTGGGAATGTTGAGACAGGAGAGGATATATTGTTTATTAATATCCTTCCTAACTTGCGCTAGCAAGTTTCTTCACTTAGCAGAGTGCATTCCCCTTCTTACGCAGCAGAAAACTGGTTGCAAACTAGTGTGAGTTTCTTAAGAGAATAAGCAATTCAATCTGGCTTGTCCAGATGGAAATGTGTTCTAATATTTTCATGGTAAGACCCCTTGAATCCTTCCTAAAAGTATTCTTTTAGGACACCACAGCAACGGCTCCCCATTCTAGCCCCTGTTGGCTTAGCTGGTTAGAGCATGGTGCTGACGATGCCAAGGTTGCAGGTTCGATTCTTTGTATGGGACAGCTGCATATTCCTGCACTGCAGGGGGTTGGACTAGATTATCCTCAGAGTCCCTTCCAACTCTACGGTTCTATGATTCTAACTCCTCTCTTTTCTGTGCCACTAAATTTTTATTCAGAGGTGTCACAAAGTACCACCAGTAGCTTTGTCGAAAGTTTCACTGTTGGGAAGCAAGTTGACCGACACACCTCTCTATCGAGGACGCTCCCTTTTTAGAAAGAAAAGCTGACTTGGGGTTGGGTGGGAGAAAGAATCATTGTGGCACTCAATGATTCCTTCAGACCTCATGCCCAAATACCTTCCCACTGCGTGAGTAATAATTTGACACTCAGCTCTGCAGGCCATCTTGGCCAAGCAGGAAAACATCATCATTAAACCAGGCCCCCTCCCTGTGTCAAACAGGTTGTTTCTTCGGTCATGGATCTGTAACCCCAGCAGTTGTCAACCCTGTTAAGGCCACCGCAGTGTCCTGTTGGTCTTTAGAGAAGTGGAATTAAAACATTAGGAACTCTATTTGGGTCAGTGCCGTGTTCCTATGTAAAAAGAAGTCTTGCGTGGGATTCAACAAAGGCAAAAGGCTGTCTTTGGTCCTCAGTTGAGTGAGCGAGATGACTATGGCCCCTTTCCAAGAAAATGGGATATAGGGTGGAAAGGATAATAGAGTTTTGACCTAGGAAGAACGACTGTTAGCTAGAACAGTGGTTCCCAAACAGTGGTCCATGAGTTTTATTCATGTGACCCACAGTGTGTCTGGGGATTTATGTACAGAGGGTGACCAAGATGGCAAAAGGTTTGGGAAACCAAACCTTATGAGGAATGGTTGAAGGAATGTTCAGCCTGGGAAAGGAGATGCTAAGGGGGTGATATGATAGCCAACTTCAGATCAATGAAGGACTGCCACATGGAAGATGAGGCAAGCTTGTTTTCTGCTGCTCTGGAGGGTAGGACCCAAATCAATGGATTCAAACTGCAAGAAAGGTGATTCCAACTAAATATTAGGAAGAACTGTTCAACAGTGTAACACACTCCCTCGGAAAGTGGTGCAGAGATTGGATGGCCATTTGTTAGGGGGTTTTTTTTAGCTATGATTCTTTCATTGTGGGGGTTTGGACTAGATGACCCTTTGGTTCCCTTCCAACTTTCCAGTTTTATTATTCCTCCAGCTCACTAAGCTGTTTGTCTCTGAAACACACACATCTCATTGCTTTATGACCTGCAAACCCCATATGTATCCACTGTCCCTATTTAAAGAATAATTTAATTAAGTGGAAGAAAATGCAATTAATTTTAATTGTTGGTGATAATTCATTTCCCCTTTATTAATACTTATTTTTTTTCTTATAAATATAAAAATATATCAGTGCTCGGTTAGTGTCTTATAATAGGGCAATTAAATTCTCTTACAGGAACTAGTTAATCTTCAGATTCTTTGGAAGTGGCAAATCTCAGTAACCCCAGGAAGCTTAATTTGAGATTGGGATCAATCTCAGGAGCTGGCTCAAAAAACAGGGTTTCTTGCAAAGCAATGCACAAGGGTAAGGACAGGACAAATTAGCAGTGGTGACCAGTAGAAGTACAGTGGTACCTCGGGTTAAGAACTTAATTTATTCTGGAGGTCTGTTCTTAACCTGAAACTGTTCTTAACCTGAGGTACCACTTTAGCTAATGGGGCTTCCCACTGGCACCACACCACCACCATGCAATTTCTGTTCTCATCTTGAAGTAAAGTTCTTATCCCAAGATACTATTTCTGGGTTAGCGGAGTCCCTAAGCTGAAGCGTCTGTAACCTGAAGCGTCTGTAACCCGAAGTACCACTGTATCACAAAACCTTAAATCCAGAGGTTCTAGGCACTTGCCCAAGTTTTTGGTTTCCTTGGATCATTGGAGACTGGGGAGTCTTTAGGATATATGGTTTTATTTTCACATATATACAACCTGAGCCTAGGATGGAGGGGCTCACAGCCTTGACACCTTGCATCTCCTTTGGATCCAGCACAGATCAAACATATCTCTGCATCTCCGGCTTCCAAGCTCAGCTTACATGTACTGCTCCCTATTGTTCTCCTACCTAGCAGCTAGGTGAGGGTGCAGGAAGGGAGGGAGGGAGGTCCCATCCACAAGTCTGGAGGGAACCTAGAGAGAACTTGTAGCTCTTTCAGCCTGACTCATTTGGGGGGCGGGGGCTGCTGATAAGGACACTTAAGTGGCTAGCTAAAATCATGTCTTATAAAGGAACACTGTTAGACTCTAATCCTCACTTGGTTGTTGTTGTTGTTTAGTCGTTTAGTCGTGTCCGGCTCTTCGTGACCCCATGGACCAGAGCACGCCAGGCACTCCTATCTTCCACTGCCTCCCGCAGTTTGGTCAAACTCATGCTGGTAGCTTCGAGAACACTACCAAACCATCTTGTCCTCTGTCGTCCCCTTCTCCTTGTGCCCTTCATCTTTCCCAACATCAGAGTCTTTTCCAGGGAGTCTTCTCTTCTCATGAGGTGGCCAAAGTATTGGAGCCTCAGCTTCAGGATCTGTCCTTCCAGTGAGCACTCAGGCCTGATTTCCTTCAGAATGGATAGGTTTGATCTTCTTGCAGTCCATGGGACTCTCAAGAGTCTCCTCCAGCACCAGAATTCAAAAGCATCAATTCTTTGGCGATCAGCCTTCTTTATGGTCCAGCTGTCACTTCCATACATCACTACTGGGAAAACCATAGCTTTAACTATACGGACCTTTGTCGCCAAGGTGATCTCTCTGCTTTTTCAGATGCTGTCTAGGTTTGTCATTGCTTTTCTCCTCACTTGGTACAGCACCCTAAGAAGTGGAAGGGACTCAAAGCAACACCCTTCTTTTGGTGCTCTCTCTCTTTTTTAAAAAAAGGCTGTATCGCATTTCATTATCTAACATCATTTGCCCCCTTAGACTTTGGGTGGGGGCAGGATATCCTCCAGTCCTCCAAGAGACCACAACGAAATGGCTAAACCCAGCCAAAACCATTAAGCCCAAGGCGGTCGGGTTTTCATTTCTGCCACTTAAAAAGAGATTTCCTTTAAAAGGGGATGGTTATTTAAAACACACAGAGAGACGGGCATGAATAAATCCAGACCTTTTATTTATTACCCTCCACAAAAAGCTTTAATAGAGCGTGCATCCCTCTGCAGCTTTGGTGAAAGGGGAAAGGATTTTTCACTGCTAAGATCCAGCCAAAAACATCAGCTGAAAGAGCATCTCGTTGCTCGTCTATGAGCTACAAAATCCAGATGGCAAATGATCTCCTCTTCACTGCACTGTTTTTTTTCAAAAGAGAGGGGGTGGGGGGAATCAATCAGTGTAGACCAGACAATATCACTGGCCATCTGCCAGGTATTGATCACACCCCCGTGAAATGGCACGCCGCTGGTGCCTTCACTCCTTGGTGCCCGCAACCAGTTCAAGGCAGTTTCTCTCCCCTGGATAAATTAACAGACCCAAGGATGGCTGTCTGAAGCTGCAGGTGCCACCCTCACTGGGCTGGCATTGAGTCTACCACCCCCCCCTCTCTCTCTCAGCCCATGTGCATTCCTTACATTTAAAGCACACGGCTTCCTGCAATGCACAACTCATTTTAATGACAGTATTGTCATCAGCTAGAGACCACATAACACCGGTCCTGGAAGACCTACATTGGCTCCCAGTACATTTTCAAGCACAATTCAAAATGTTGGTGCTGACCTTTAAAGTCCTAAACGGCCTCAGCCCAGTATACCTGAAGGAGCGTCTCCATCCCCACCGTCCAGCCTGGACACTGAGGTCCAGCTCTGAGGGCCTTCTGGTGGTTCCCTCCCTGCGAGAAGTGAGGTTACAGGGAACCAGGCAGAGGGCCTTCTCGGTAGTGGTGCCTGCCCTGTGGAACGCCCTCCCATCAGGAAATAAACAACTATATGACTTTTAGAAGACATCTGAAGGCAAACCTGGTTAGGGAAGTTTTTAATGTTTGATGCTTTATCGTGCTTTTAATATTCTGTTGGGAGCTGCCCAGAGTGGCTGGGTGTGATGGCCTGGGAATCCGATTCAGAGGCTGAACCGGAGGAATCCCAGCCTGCACAGGAGTCCCCGCCTCCAGGGCCGGCTGAACTGGGGTAGGGCCTTGATTCTGAAGCGCCTGCACCTGTGCCGGATCCTCAGGAGCAGGCACCAGGTGAATCCACTCTGGCTCCAGAGGGGGTTGAGGACACAGTGCCTACAGGTGTGCCTCTCCCAGCCCTGTCAGGGGAAGGTGAGTCTCCCCTTGGGTCCAGTAACCCTCCAGCCTCTCCTGAACTGCAGAGGCTCAGGGCAGAGAGGTGGAGGGAACTGGTTTCTCCCAGGAGGAGTGCTCACCTTAAGGCCAGGAGAGGCGGGTCTCCTGGGGGCCGGGGCCGCCCCTGGCCTCAGAGAAGATAAAGGCCAGTCAGCCCGGTCCCAGGTTGTGGGAGCAACATCGTTGAAGAGCTGTTTCGGCCAGCACCCAGTCCTGTTCCCCCAGAGTTCCTGTCCTTGCCCGGCTCCTCGCTTTGGACCCCGCTTCACCCGTGGAGGACTGTCTGCTGACCCTCGACTCAGGTCCTGGACCTCGCCCCACGGTAACCTCCCCCCGGGACCAGCACACTGGGGAAACTCAAGAAGAAGAAGAAGAAGAAGAAGAAGAAGAAGAAGTAGTTTTGGGGTCAGCCTGGATGATCTCCCGGGTCCCAAATTCCAGGCCTGCTTAGAATCTACTGGAAGGAGCTACTTAACCAACCCAACCAGTTCCTTCGTTGTGGGAATGGCTT